GGGGAGGAAGTTGGCGAGGAAGATGATGAGCCAGCTCCTGATGAGGACTATGTCATTGGAGGAACCGGTGTCGTCAAAGCTCTGGGGGTCTGCCTTGGTAACCTAGATCATCATATGCCCGGAGACCAGTCTGGCCCACCCAGTGGCACGACAACGCCTAGACACAGGAAATCCCAGCCTTATGCAGCGAAAAGACCCCGCGATATGTCGAAGAATTTACTTGAATCCGCCCGGAATATTCGTACCAGGATTCACTCGGCTCTTGTCCGTGAGGATAGAGCCGGCAATGATATTAATTACAGTATGTCCACACGTCGCATCTATGAGCTGATGATAATGCTAATTCTTTTGTTTCTACGTTAGGGCGTCTTCAGTTCCTTGATTTCACCCTGCATAGGATGATTCAGCGATTTGAGGACGAGTATCCAGAGACGCGGATCATACCACAGCCGGTCTTCGCTACGGCTCCGGATAACAGCTCCCAGAATTCTGGTGACGACGTAAACGGTGGAGCTACATTCGGCACCCAACCGATCGCCGATCAAGGCGATGAGTGTGCTATTGACGATGAAGATGCCGATCAGTATGCCTTGGGCATATCACGGGCAAGCTCGATGACTTCTCTCCATTCACGTGCAATGACCTCAGAAGAAGGCCATGTCCATCGTCTTGGCCAAAACCTTCGCCGCGACTTTCTTAATCCCTCCTTCGATCAAGGCGGCGACGATTCATCGCTCGCCCTCGATGATGCACACATTGCGGCCCTTCGCGAGAAACTCGAACGTTTGCAAGAGGAGCAGGAACATTCCCATTTTGACAGCGTGGGCGCCGACAAAACGTTCGAGCAGTTAGGCACGACTGTAGAAGAGCTATGGGCAACTCATAAGCAAGATGCAGAGACGTTTGAGAGATTCAAACAGAGCCAGATTGCGGCTCAAATTAATAGCGGAATGAGACCCGCATCATCAGGGAACGGCGCTGGCAGCCAGAACAGACAGGGCTGAGTCAAACCGACGGTCCTCATTCTGAATGTGGGTATATATCCTGCTGCAGCGACTATTTTCTCGCTGTTATTTACTATATATGGACTTTATTGTTGTTGACTGAGCGCGAGAGTTTCGTTTCGGATGTACTCTAATTTTCCAGTTCTATTTCTGATTTCTTTCTGGCAATATCGTGCATGGTAGATGTCAGTTTGTACAGTACATATACTTCGTCCATGAAACGTTTGACGACTTGCCGGGTTAACCTATCTACATAATCCACGCTTAATGCTTTGACCGAGTTTAACAGGACATTCTATTCGATGAGCGCCTTGGACAGCCTCTCGTAGGACGCCGTTCAACAACCTCACGCGCATAACCCGTAGAGCATGTATGCATCTATTTCAGCAATTAAGCTCCTATCAGTTTCCGTTGTAGTACTCGTATCTAGTCATTTGTAAAAAAAGAAAAGAAAAGAAAAGAAAAAGAGGTGGCGCAGTGTCAAACAAAACCATAACCCTAACTCCCAACACCATCGGAGTCTCCTTCCGGTACAAATGCAACAACCATCGGCATCGTGCACCGATACATTAAACCCAAGTACCAATCGAGATACATAACAACCCCTCAAATCGAGTCCGGTCACCAAAGATACGTCACAAGACAAACCCTCTTACCAACCTAGAATCACAATCGTATATATTTACTATACCAGATGACTACCCGCCTAGCCCCCAGACTCGCCTCCAGGGCACACTTCCGGCCATCACCCCCGAGTCCAATCAGCACAAGATTCCTCTCAACAAAGACAAAGACAAAGCCAATCGCCCCGATGAAAGAATTCCTGTGCATTATACCCGATAAGCCTAATGTCCTGGGGCTCAGAAAGAAGGTGAAAGGGTAAGTTTCTACAGACCACAGTCTACTGTCCTTACATATCTTTACCAATAAAATATAAAATGATTAGTGAAGTAAGTGCTCACGGGTGTACACAGCGCACATTATGAAGGTGTCAAATTGCTAGTAGCAGCTGGGAGACTTGTCGATGGAGGTAAGCTCTATCCCATCTATCTATCTTGCGATGATATTATCATTGCTTACCACCTGGATATATCATATCGCCACCGCTACTGTGGGTACATATTGTGATGATGATAAGAATTCTAACCCAAAACAGGCGCCATCCTTGAATCCCACAGTACAGAAAACAGTGATATCCAAATTAAAGGTAGCATGGTTGTGTACACCGGCGAGAGCGCAGAAGAAGTCCGTGCCGTTATAGAGAAAGATGTTTATGCTACGAGTGGGGTTTGGGACTTGGAGAAGGTGCAGATCTGGCCTGTAAGTTCTTTCTCGTTCTTCTTCCATTCCCGGGACTTTCGGGGGTGAGATTTTTAGAAAGATTAGTGCTGATGTTAGATGTTGTTTAGTATGTTCCTGCTGTGAGGGAGCCGGTTTGTTGATGGGTTATCTGTGGTGGGAGGGTGAGTGAGTGAGTGAGTGGTTGGTAGGGGTTGTTCGTGATATTGTTTTTGAGGGTAGTTTTATTCCTATGAGGGTCTAATGAGTCAATGTTACTTCGGAGTATTTCCTTGTCATGGTTAGGCTGTGCTGTACTTGTGCCCTAGAACATATACATTCGCGGATACTTGACATAGAGAAAGTTCTATCTTCTGAGTTGTACAAGTATAGTTGCAATTATTTGTTGGTCTATTTCTGAGTCAGACACAAGGCCATAAAGGAGTGTTTAATAAACATTATTGGCAATGCACTTTCTATCCTGATTCCTAGAACTTGATCATGACTTTCGTCTCCAGGCGATCCGAAAACCGTCGATATCCGTTCGGTGCCTCTTCTATATCGATAACGCTAGAGAAAACGAACCCCGGTTTAGCTCTGCCACATTTCACCAATTCCAGCAGTGGTTGCACATATAATTTGCTGTCCACCGCACCACCACGAACCGTCATGTTCTTTTCCCAGAAGAGCGTCATGGGAAAAGTAATAGATGGTGAGATAGTATTTCCTCGCTGAACTCCTTTGGAATACGCCTGAGCAAAGTATACGCCAATAACCCCTAAGCCACCACCCACGCTGGTGCACTTGATCGCCTGTGTAATTACAAACGACTGATCAGGCTTCAATGTCTCGTTGACGCACTCCTCCCCAACACAGTCCACGGTGCGCTGAACGCCGCCTGGTTCCCGGGCCAGGATTTGCGCCGACGGTTCACCCTTCGTGAAGTTGATCGGAATGGCGCCAATGGAAGCGGCGAGTTCTAGTCGTTCTTCGACGGAGTCGATGCAGTACACTCGTGAGGCACCACGGAGAATTGCCGAATACGCCGCAAGGAGTCCGACTGGGCCGGCCCCGAAAATCGCAATCTTGTCTCCGGCCTCGAACCCCGACCAAGTAACGCCCGCCCAGGCAGTAGGGAAAATGTCTGAAAGAAGAACCAGATCTGTGTCTGCAATATCATCATATTCCTTCCCGAGAACAAACAAGGATTTGTCCGCCAGTGGAACACGCACGAACTCGGCTGTTGAAATGGGCGTTGTCAGCTAGACACAAACTCTTCCCCCAATGGGGATCGATCTCTTGTTTCTCAAGAGATAATAGAAAAATATGATTCTTGAGCGCTAAACCATACCTTGGCAACCTCCCAGATCACCAAATTGACTTCCCTGTCCATAAAATGCAATTGAAGGGGTAATAGCAGGTTCTAAAGCCAGCCCGACGCCATCAGGCAAATCAGGGATAATGACCCTATCCCCAACCTTCACGGAATCAACATCTGTTCCCACTTGCTCGACGATCCCCATCGCTTCATGTCCAATAGGATAAGGCACCTGCTTGCTGCCAAAGACGCCGTGGTAGTTGTGCAGGTCGCTGCCGCAGAGAGCCGCTGAAGTGACCCGAACCACGGCGTCCGTTTGCCTGACGACCTTTGCCTTTGGTACATCACGGACATGAACCTCGAACGGCTGGCCGTCAAAAACGACTGACCGCATGGTGCTATCCTTGTTGTGTATCTCTGTCATGGTGTAGAACAGTATATTGTTCAATTTAGGCGTGGTGGATGTGGGATTGTTCCTTGAGTGGTTCTAATAAAGCAGTAAGGGATTTGCTGTTGGATTCAACCTTGTTAGGTTTCATTCTTGCTGGAATTGACCGGTCCTTATATAGCAATTGATGGTGACCAGTACAGCCTTGCGTAGCGAAGTCCAAGGCCCATGGGATACATACGATCCAACATCTACATCTCAGGGAAGACCCAAAACTCAGCCTCAAAACGCCTGAGATGCCTGAACCATACGCCAAGTCTGATGTAAGATAAGCATGCTGAAATGAGGCTCCTAGAAAAAGTCAATTCGGACATCTCCGTCGCACCACGATCATATCTGCCGGTCACTTTGATCTCATGACTTGACGATGCCCCATCTATGTGGCTTATAGGGCAGACTATTAGACTAAGTGGACCACTCGCTATCGATAAATTTTATTGGGTCTACCGTGTAACTTCGCTGCTAGTTTGCTACTAAGGTTACATCCGCTTTTACACATCGGTTCCACCTTAGGGAGGAAGAAAGGTTTAATCTAATTTCAGGCCCCCTGCTCAAATCCACTCACCACTCTTGCTTGACGCAGGGTGTAAAGGCTAGGTCAGATGCTCGGAAGACGGGACACAGTCCCTACTGAATCGCCCCATGCATCCACTGGTCAGGTGGCGCTGGGCTGGCTTGGATCTAGGACAAGTGTGACGTTGGCATATGGGTCGATTGTGGATATGATAATGCCCCCATGAAGCGAATCGACGTCGGCTCGAACAAGAATATCGTTGGTGTTGATCTGTGAGAAGGACTACTACACTTTCGCTGGTGACTGGATCCATCAAATCTAAATTCTATCTAGATGAGACCCCAAAGAGAGTGAAGGAAAGAGAGAGCAAGAAAAACGCAACACCGACACAATGCCTCTATATACAAAACCATCTATCCACAAACATAATCTAGTAGATCAATTCTCTACCTTATCCTCCAAGCTTGCCAACAACTCACTCTTCACCACCTCATTACTCCACTTCGTCCGCGGCCGTTCAAAAGTCGACACAATCCGCCCATAAGAAACACCTCCCAGCTGCGCCACAGGCCTCAATTTGTCAAGATCAATATGACTGAAATCGGCATCAGCAGCCCCCTCCTTAACCCAGAACCGCGTCGCCTTGATTAACACCGTAGCAGCAATGCTCATCCCCGGCTGCTGATGATCCGCAAACTCCTTAATATCGATCACCTTGCCCTCGATGCTGAACACGGACTCCTGCACGCGCGACGGCTTCACAGTCGTTGAGGGCGCCTCGTGCAGACCTGAGACATCCCACTCCGAAACACCATACGGTGCATCGATGGAGGTGGCATTCACCGCTTCGATCATGTTCTCGGACACGGTGTTGATCACACACTCGCCTGTTTCCTTGAGATTGCGGTACGTGTCTTTCACCCGGCCCGGACGGGACGAGAACCCGACGATGAACATCGGAGGGTCATGGTCAATGACCTGGAAGTAACTGAAGGGGGAGAGATTCTTCTGGCCCTTTGCATTGACGGTGCTGAGAAACCCGACTGGGCGGGGCGCGATGGCGGAGACGAGCAGCCGGTAGTTGTTCACCGAGGGCCGGTCTGGCGCGTAGGGGTCCACCTCGTGATGCTCTTGCGATAGACTGGCGTTGTTGTCTGGTATCCCTTGTCCGTAGTCCCAGGCTGGGTAAGGGGATTTGGTGGTTTCGATGGGCTTGGCGTGGTCGAAGTCGGGACGTTGGGCTTCCTTCTCTGCGAAGTTGCCTACATCTTGTACGATTTTGTAGTTTTTGTGTGCGGCGTCGCTCTCGCTTTCTTTTGTTGTTGCTGCTGTTGCCACAGCTGCCATTGAGGAACTTTGGCGGAGGTTCCGAATGGTTGGTGCTTGAGAGCGTTGCGAGCGGGTGTGGCGCTGGTTTACTGTTAGTTGTGTGACTTGGTTTTCGGGGGCAGAGACGTTGTGGCTAGAGGCTTACTATATGGACAGGAAGCGTCCGAAGGTTTGTGGTCGTATCATTTTGATGTGAAGTCTGGTTTTTAGAATATTTTTATGGGTTTGTGATTGGAAACGGTGGCGTTTAAAGATGTTGAAAAATGGGAAAGATGTCGGAGCTGTTCTCCGACGGACCGGTTTACAATCCCGACCACCTCTTGTATAGAAAGACCGATCTACCAAAGCGCATGGTTATAGCCCGTTTTGTGTTTATTGCCTTAGCTGTGCTCTGATTTCGAACTCAAAACATGTTCTCCCCGCGTGCTATCCGCAGTCTATCTTCCCTCAGTCATCTCTTCTACTCTCTTCCGAGCCCAGCCTTTAGGAGTCGATCCATATCCACCACTGCACCCATGTTTACCCCAGTAACAAGCGTGCAGACCAATCGAGCATATGCCCGTGGGAATTGATCCTAAATTTTCTCAAGTCATACATGCTAATTATTGTCTAGCTTTCGCACACTACGTATGTTGCCCAGAGGAAGCCCCCGAAGCACTTCGCCAACAATATTATGAAATGCAGTCGCAAGCAATAAAGGCCGGCGGCCAAGTCTGGCTCTCCGGTCAGATCCCTGCGGATGCGCACGGTAATCTAATCAAAGGATCCACCGTCGAGAAAACCAAAGCCATCATCCAGAATACCGAAGCTATTCTTAAAGAGGCCGGCTCCGGACTGGACCGGGTTGTCAAAGTGGTGGTAAGTAAGTACCCTTCGAATGCGCAAACGCTTGGATAATCTTCTGCAATCTTCACCGTTATTCTACTAACCTCTTGAAATGCCGTAGGTCTATGTTAGAGACGCCAGTATAATGCCTGACTTTGCTTCTGTGTATGATCCCGCGTTTCCACATCGTCCGGCACGGTCTATGGTGGAAGTATCCAAATTGCCTGCTGGGGTAGATATTCAGGTGGATTTCATTGCTGTTGTGTGAATACCCTACTTGTCAAGTGTTTCTTACATCTCTTTCCACGCTGGGCTGAACGTTGCTACTATATAATACGCTCCCTCTCGAATTGTAAGCCATAAATTGGAGGAATTTATGAAAGGAATTTTCATTCATTTCGGATTTCAATATGAATTTATGGCAATATATTGTTTATTTGGGCCGTAAATAATCTTGCTCAAGTGTCCATAGATTGCATGATACTATCCACATCCAGTTGGTCTGCTAAGTCGAGCAGCTCTCTTGGTGGAAGGCTCACAGAATGGCTGAGCGCCAACAAATCCCATTCAACTTCGTCTCCTATGTCCACTTGATCCAGCGCGTATGTATCATCATTATTATCATGGATCTCGTCGGAAGTCATTGGAAGCATTGCATGGGTCGCAGATCTCGGTGTTAAGGGTGTCAGCATAAGGTCCAGATGCTTCAGTTCCAGTTTCCGGAGTGGTGCCGCTGGGTTGCCCTTTGAGATGAGCTTTTCGATAACACAGTCAAGGTTGTCACACCAGGACTCATTCGCAATAAGCGAGGGGGCGATTGAGCGAATCAAGTATAGAACAAAAGCAGATGAAGAAGCGTGCTCGACTTGAAACGGTAAAAATGCATCTGCCGCGAAATAGGTTAGGGCTGGCATTGTGCAAGAGAAGGGAAAACCAATGTTTCATACCCATCAAGTCGTCATCGGCCAACGACCGAAGAGTTTGAAGAATGGTCTGGGCAGAATCGGCGCAGCATTGCAAGAGGGATGCCACGGGTGGCGACAGACAAATGCTTCGCGATGGCTGTCTCTCTGCACTGTCTATGTGCATATTGAGAGCACACATCACCAAAGGCCGTGTTGTCAGAACCACACACTTAGAGTCATTTAGTGTATGTGTCGAAAAAAAAATGCACAAGGTATAAAGGTACACTTACATGATGTTGGGCTAGCATCAGTCTAACTGCCATCTTTGAGCCTCGGCCAACCGTTCCATGAAAACTGCTATCCAGAAACTCCGTGATATCTTGAGAGAGGTCCGCTAGTGCATGAAGAATAGACTGAATATCTTTGATCAACGCTCCATTAGATGCACTATCCACCCCATATACCGCTATCTCAATCGTGTTAATATTCATATGGAGCCTCGCCTTGGCTGATTGTCAAGGGGACTCACTTGTCAAGATTTGCGCCATGAGGCGCGCGAGCCGAACATGCAATGTCAGATTGGTATTTTCTACGGAAGACGCCACCTCTGCAGGTAACCTGACTGTGATGTCCTCATCACGAATTGAGTTTGGTCCTCCCATCAATGCGGAGAACTCTCTATCCAGCATGTACACTACCCAAAAGACAGCTCGACAGCGCTGAGAAAGTTCTGGCCCGCCTAGCTCCTCCGGTACATGCCTGTGTATGCCTTCGGTAATACAACAACGTAGAGCCTGCCCAATCTAAAGGATAGTGAAGGGATAAGCAGAGACCTCCTTGGCACCAGTAAACTCGGAAACTTACGTGATGAAAAGCCGCTTTTCTCATGTCAATTGACTGAAAGTACAGTGCTGCTAGGCTCAAAGCTTGAATCGAGCTCAAGGGGTCCTCGTGTATGCCGGATAGATCTGGCAATAAAGCCATCGCCCGTGATGCATACTGGTGCCCAGGTGGAGACCCAGATGGATTCCTTTGAGTTATGAAGGCTTTTCCAAAGGCAAGCACAAGTAGATACTGGGCGAACCAAGACCTACGTGAGGCAGCCTTCGCTGCTGGATCCAGATAAAATTCGTGTAACTCTTGAAGGTATAATGTCTCATCAATCAGGAAGGATAAAGAAGCGAGATAGTACTTCGCAGCATTGTAAAGAAAAAGGGCATAGTCCAAAGGCGGTATATTGGTGACATCAGGCGATTCCTCGGGGGGTACTTGCTTCCATTGCAGCTTGAATGCCATACCATCCAGATGCCATGGGTCTGGTGGAGAGTTCGATTCAGGAACTCGTTTCCCTAAAAGGGCCAGGACGCGACGACAAAAAGACCATGAGGATGACGGGCCCATATACCCTATGTTGCTTATATCAGCAGAGTTATAAGTGACAAAAAGGTTAATAATCTCACAATATCGGCCGTCTGGAGTTGCAGCAAAAGCCCATTCCTTTTTGTCTACAAGTGGATTCTTCGAAAATTCTGAGTCATGGCATTCTTGCCTCTTCCCGGTGCCAGCCCTTCTTCCAGGATTACGTGTGGGAGAGTCTATCCGACGCTGTTAGTTCTCAAGGACCAAGTGGAATACTATAAGCAGAACGCTTTTATAGCATATTGAGTAGTGCAGAACAAAATCCGCTTACCGTCAGACGTTGTCTGCCATCCAGCTGTTTGCCGGTCATCCGGTGGCGGGTATATCGTTGCATTGGGAGTCGGGGAAAAATCTACAGCTTCATTTCTCGTCAAGGGAGGTATTACCTGATGCTCTGCCCCAGCAGAAGTCGTATACCGCCCGGAAGTTGCACTCCTAGTAATTTGTTCTTCCAACTCCCTCAGATAGCTGGGATTGAACGATGGCGTATATTAGTGCGATGATTCTGCGGACGTTGCTCATCCCCTTACCGTTCACTAACAGAGACCCTAACCTCCTCCACTGGAAAGTGACAGGATCGATTGCTGCGAGTACATCGTGAACAGGGATGTGATCCCGAACACTTCACCTTCATCGACCGACACCGTTCACATCTAGCAGGTATATAGTTATTCATCTACCGTCTCTACACATAGGGTGAGGAATTTTTGCTCACGCTCGAAGACTTTTCTTCTTCCGTCGTTCAGTTGGAGGCATACCAGGGGCAGGCGCCGATATATTGGGAGGACGAAGTGGCGATGATACTCAACAGTAGAGGTCGGGATCAGTGTCCGACTTTTGTACACTATCGGAACTCAAATGTGGGGTTGCCTTGTCAGATTGCCTCTTGTGATATGACGTCATTGTATGTGGTTATCGTAATCAAGTAATAAGCTGCGTGACCTGGAGTACCCTAAAAGCTTAGGCTTCCATAAAACTACGGCTACTGCTTTTTGGCCACTACGAAATGCTCAATTCTAGTCGAATAGTACCCTGTATGTTTGTATTAACTCATAGTCGATTCACCCAAAGAGTCTCCACCACAGCTCTTTCCGTATAGCAGCCACCATATGTTGTGTTCGCTGCACGGCGTCGCGGTTTTCAATTGCCCGCCGATGTAGATATCCCATGCACTCAGCCACAGATCCCCACGTTAAACACTTGAAAGTCTTTGGAAGAGACACTGTTGCAGAAGACGACTGATCCAGGGCATGCTCATACCTGTGCAAGATGTCTGCAATCATGTCATATGAACTGTCTGTTTCTTCCTTGGTGTCGTGGATCAAGTCACGCTTTTCATGCTCAGTATAAGCCCCCACGCACCAGTTTGATCCCAAGCGACCATCCCTCTTGCGCGGCCAGCTTGATATGGTTGTCGACATTCGCCTTCGACCCCCTTTAGATAGCCTTGGATTGTATTGTAGACTACCGGCGTCTCCGATCGGTTATGCGTACGCATCATCTCGATGGCCCACTTATCCAGTCCAGGTTGAAGCAGCTGTTGCTCTGCATCGAGCCCCAGACGTATGCCTTGTTGTGCGGTTGCGACACAGATCGTGTCCACGGCTTTTGCCACAACCTCGGGCATTGGCTGGCACGCTGCCATAGTATCTACCGAAATCGGTCCGGCGCCCGTCAATCTGAAGAATGGATTTGTCAATGCCATGAGTGGTTTAAGATGGCGGTGCTATTAGACGTACTTTACGGCGAGGAAATCCCCCGGCTCGAGCATGCGTAGGGTTTTCAAAAGTTCCTTCCTTCCACTCTTCAACCATTTCGTAGCACCGGTCGCTGTACGTAGCAGAGCTAAGAGTCTGTTGATGATTGTCCATTAGGGTCTAATACGACCTACTTGGGAATACCCCAGGATAGTAACACCCTGGTACCCAATCCGCTTGGTGTCCGCTATCGTCTTGGAGACCTTCTGCATGGCTAGTACCTGCGCAAAAGTGATCGTAAACCGTAAGCCGAAGAGCCTTGTTTAGAATCCTATTTCGATCTGCGTTCAGGAATGGCGATTTTGAGATAGTAAGAATGTTCAGGATAGCTAGGGCTGGCCGTATAAGGGTCTTGGAGGACATCAGAGAAGTCAAGATTAAAGACCGTAGCAGGACACTTGTCGGCAACCTTGCCATTGGTGAAACTGCCCAATACGGCTTGATTTCCGGCTTGGTAACTGGTTCACGGTAGTACTAGTAATAATATAAATTGCTTTCATTTTTTTCCTTTAGGCTAAAAATTCCTTTAGGCTGCCGACCATCTACCACCAACCTGTAAGTTACAGGAAACCATATTTATAGTCTCCCTTTACTGATAGTTCTCTAGGTTGGGGCAAGAATGGTCAAATGGTGACATTCAGGAACCAACGGTTTCGCGTGCACTGTGGAAAATGTATGTTGTGGTCTATATCCACAGGCTTGAAGTACTAAGGGAATACTGATACTGATTGACGATAATAGATATCCGCGATAAATATCATAGCCGCAGTCAGGGACTCATGGATATCAAGATCGACCATGATTATAGCCGAATCAACTCGTTGTCCGATTGCCTTGATGTATGTGCTACCGATTCTCGATGTGCTACGGTCTATTTTTTCAACACACGAAGCAAAGAATGCCGTTTTGGCAGCAGCGTGGCTAGAGGATCGATTGACAATCCTTATTGGGGAGGACCCTCAAATACTCACGATGCTGCGGTGCGTGTTTAGGTAGGTAGCCTATCTACTATCACTATAGGAAGCAGGGGAGGAGGGCAAATAGGCCATATTTTACTTGTGGACATTTCTATGACTGTTTACTCTATATTATATAATTCTCTATGTTACCAAGTTGATTTACTGTATTATCTGTCACGGTTTACTATTATCGCAATCACACTGTCTAGCCTCCGATCAATGCCAGAT